CTGTGGTTGATTGCCGAGGACTCTTCTCGGAGGAAAGGGAACCAGGTCGGGTTCGTAGGGGAGTCTCCGATGGACCCAGCCAAATATGGTCCAAGGGCAGAGGAGCTCGACATCCCTTCGTTTTGGAACTTCGAGGAGGTGCGCGAGTTCTGTCGGGACCATGGCATGATCTTGGTTGACCTAGATCAAGGGGCCGCTGGCCACCCACGGAGGAAACCAACTACGCTTGCGACCAATCTGCCCGGCATGGGGGAGCTTCATGGACTTAAGGGTCAAGGCCATCAAGAGATGGAGGCGGACCTACAGCGACGGTTGGTGCAGACGAGGACCTGGTCGAAATGGGCCCCTGGGATGGTGGCAGCGATCAAGAAGTCCTTGAAGGTGATGATCGATCAGCTAGAGGAAGGATCAAAGGAAAAGGTAGCGGAAACGGGGGAGCTCAAGAAGATGACCCTTGAAAGATGGAAGGAGCATGTGAAAAGGGGACACGCTCCGTTCAATCGGAGGTGCCGGGTTTGCATGCAGGAGGCAGGCATAGACCGGCCCCATAGAAGGTTGAAGGCCGACATACCGGCTTATGTCCTCAATGTGGATATTGCTGGCCCAGTCTTGGCTGGAGATGATGCAGGCACCGGGAGAAAGGTCAAGTATTGCCTGATTGGAACGGTACCTGTACCTCTTGAAGGAGGAGATGGCGGAGATCTACCAGTAGAGCCGGTCGAAGATGCAGAAGAAGATGTGGTCTTAGGTGAGTGGGAAGAAGAAGATGAGCAGCCGCGCGCTTCAGATGACGAGGCAAAGCGGCTCAACGAGAAGGTCAAGGACGAAATGGCCGAGGCGCTCAAAGGGGTCAAGGTTCAGAATGTCACCATGACGGAAGTCATGGAAACCCGAAGTGCGACGGAGGTCATCAGAGCCCAGAACCTTATCTTCGTGAAGTACCGCAGCTTGGGGATCCCGCTCTACCGCATGCACTGCGACCGAGCAAAGGAGTTCCTCTCGAAGCAGGTGCAGCATTGGTGCTTCCAGCAAAATTTGCTGCTCACGATGACATCTGGAGACGATCATGCAGCGAACGGAAGAGTGGAGACGGAGGTCAACCATGTCAAAAGAAGGCTTCGGGTGGTGCTGAAGGGGTCTGGAGCTCCAGCGAAGTGGTGGCCTGCAGCCCTACGTCACGTGGTGCTACAGCGAAATCAGCAACAGCTTGAAAGACTTGGGGTGGAGACCTTCCCGCTGCTCCCATTCTACGCTAAGGTCATGGTGAAAACGAAGAGATGGCATAAGAAGGGGCCCTTGGCATCACCTTTTCGTGAAGTACGCCTACTGGGTCCGAGCCCTTTGATGAGCTGGGGTTGGGTGGTGCAAACCAATGAGGGGACCATCCAGCACGCAAGAGCTGCCATCTTGCCAGATGAGGAAGCAGACAGGGCGCGGTACGAGCTGGAGGTGAACGACAACCCTGGGAAGCCAAAGCAACGGCATGGAGATGATGGCGTACTTGTACGGCACGAAGGAAATGGGCCTGAAGTACGGGTGTTGCAAGGGAGACAGGGGGCCAGATGGAGGTTTGCCGTTTGCGAGGTCGATGAGGAGATTAGAGATGTACGCGGACATCTCCTTTGCCCCGCTGGGTGATAAGAGCCATCAAGGCGTTCTCGGTTTCTATGGTGGCGCCTTGGTTCAGTGGGAATCCAGCCGCCAGCCGTTTGCAACCCTTAGCACCGCGGAAGCAGAACTGGTGGGCTACATCGAGGCCAGGATCATGGGTGACTCTCTCTGCGCGGTCTTGGACGGAGGGTGGCCACAACGGCGGAGGAATCACGGAAAAGGTGATATACGGGGACAACACGGCGGCGTTGGCCATCGTTCAGAATCCAGATGGGCCGTGGCGCACACGGCATCTTCGGCTGCGTGCCAATGTGTTGCGAGAAAGAGTGAGAGGTGGAGGATGGCAGGTTCGACATCTGCCAGGCTGTGATTTGGTAGCAGACTACGTCACGAAAACGGTAGCTTCCAGGTCGCAGTGGCTCAGGTTCTATGCCATGACGGGCATGATCCGGGAGACCTTGGAGGTGGACGGAGTGTTGAACCAAGAGGCCATTGGGCCCCAGAAGGGCCTCAACAAGGACACGGCCATGAAGGTGGCTGCTCTGAGTGGGCTCATGGGGATTGTGGCATGTTGGAAGCCGCAGGACCCTCGGTCTCACACTGTTAAGGAGCTTTGTTTGGCGGCTCTTGGTGTTGGTTTAGGATTTGTGTATAAAGGCCATCGGGCCCAACCCATGAGGGAATCAAGATCGGCTAGGGATGATGAACCAGCCGCACATCAAGGCAGCCTTGAAGGAAGAGTTGCCAAGATGGTCAGGGAAGATGAACCGACCACACCAAGGGACCCCTCTGTTTGGAAGCTTACCACCAGGGAAGATGAACCGGTGGAAGCAAGGGCCTCTGTCAGGGAAAATGAACCGACAGAGAGAAAGATCGCCATCAAGATGGGCTAGGTAGGGAAAATGAACCAGCCCCGAGGGTAAAACCGGTGGACCCCTGCCGCATGCCATTTTACCACTGCCCTACGGGCTGCCCTGCATCAATGGGTAAGGGTCCGGCGCCGATCGGGGTGGCCTGAACCTCCGGGTGGTCCAATTCGTGGGTCATTGGATGAGGAGCCTGAGGACTTTTGGGAGGTGACGTTTGAGCGAGACTTCATCGTGGCGACCCGCATCCATATGCTGAGGAGAAACCGGGACTTTCAACCGGATCCGAGGAACATGCCTCCGGGGGTCAACGCTACGATGCTGGAAAGTCGGCGACAGACAAATTTGGTTTTCGTCGACATCGGGCGCGGGCGGCGGGTGATCAACGACAACTGGAGGATGGATGCTTTTCGCCAAGCAGATGCCTGGACGGGGTCTACGGTGTTTGTAGCTCCTTTGCGGGGCAATGTGAGTTTGCGGGACCTGGGAATTACTTCACTACCGGGTGAGCGTGAACGAAGCCGCAGTCCAAGGGATGACAACAACCCGGACGATGCGGGACCAGCCCGTCCTAGGATTGGGAACACTCACATCAGGGCCCCAAGCGAGCGAGAAGTTCGACCACGGCTACGAGCCTTGAGGTGGCTGTCAAGGAAGCCAATAGTGGAGGAGAAGATTGAGGAGGAGAAGAAGCCGGATGATCAAGAAGAATATTTTCATCAGGGTGGACCAGTACTCCCATGGGAACTCGATCAGTACAAGGCCCCCCCGATGCTCAAGAGCAAGAACAAGGATGAATGGGATTGGTCCCAGCCAGGATGGGCAATCCGTGCACATGGCAAACCTCGGAAACGCAAGTTCCACCCGATCCACCGAGAATTCCCGCTGGATGCAGTGCAGTTGGAGTCGAGGAGGATCACGGTGAGGCTTTACACGGGCACATCGCCTTTGGGCATTCGGTCCATCGAGGCTGTCCATCAAGAGCGACAACGGACCTCGCAAATGCAACAATGGCGAGGGTACACCTTCTTCAAGATCAAGATCGGGAAGGAGAAGAATTCTGGCTGGTCGTCCGCGAAGGACCATGGAGTGGCTTCGAGGGGCATAGATCCAAGTGCGAGGGGCTCTGGAGATCGAGTTGGATCCGGAGGCTACGCACGAGGAGGCCCAGAGAAGCGTGGGAAAGATGCGGGCCCGGTAGTCACATTTCCAAAGGCGAAGGCTGGCGGAAGAGGGAGGACTACTACCCGGGCGAGCACTACGGAGGAAAAACCTCCGACTCCATCGAGTCTTCCGGTAGCAGATGGCGCTGGGGATTTGGTGGAGGAATCTTCAGTTTCTTCTGGATGGGAAGAAGTTTTAATGCAGCCAAAGGCTGCAGGGGGAGTGTGCATGTACAACATGAGGCACACGAAACCATTCAATGGCGACGGCCATTGGCTCAAGCGCTGGAAAAAGCGCGACCTTTTGCATAGACATAACCATAAGCCCAAATGTGAGATCAGAGTTGAGTGGAAACAATGTCACTTTACGGTGCCTGCCAACCTTAAAGTGCATGACAAATGACAAACAAACAAATAATTGCGGTGTCAGGCTCTCAGGATTCGCCACTTCGGATGCACCTAGAGGACGTCCCGTCAAACCTGGTCCACTGATCGAGTTCTTCTGCGCGATCTTTTTCAACTTCGGGGGCTCGAGGTTGAGTGCCCTGATGACAGTTGACCGACTCTCCATTGCGTCCATCGAAACTTGGCACGAAAAATCGAGAAAAGCGGCTGCGAGCCCATGCGCACATGCAAACCAGCACCACATAAGAGCCGCTTTGAGAACAGAAGCGTCAATCGCTACAGCCGGTGACCAGTGAATCAAAGCAATGGTGCCACCCTAAATCCTGAATGCGTGAGAGCCACATGATCTGATTGCAAATCGATTAGTTCCTTAGCCATACACAAGAAAAGGATGAGGAAACTCAGTCGATTGACCACACATTGTCAATCAATCTGGTTGCTGCAGCGGTACTGAACCCTAGCAGAGAAAGCTCCGACGCAACATGCAGGAGACGTTAATTCACAACCACGAAGCGTATTGGGTAATGTGTGACGCGCAGCCATCAGCTTAGTCCCCCAAATGCCAACGCATTGTGGAACCCAGTGGATCGCACTTGCCCCCATGGTAGGTAACCAGCCATTTTCCTTTTGGCTTGTAAAGTGGTATCCTCGGTTACCTCCAAAAAAGGGAAACGTGTCCCTTATGACACATGTGCATCGAAGGCCCCTTGCCTGCGAAGCATTGCGGTGAATCCCTCAAAAGCAAATTGGCCATGTGGCGAAGCCTAGGTCCAACTAAGGAGTCAGCTACCGCCAAAGTCGAAAATCGGCAGCTGACTTGTGAGTCTCCACCATATATAATGATGTTGGCCCCACCCCAAAAGACGGGTGGCTCCCTTTCGTTTCCTTTTCAATCCTGCAAAGGGTACCCGCAAAACGACACGCACACGAAGGCGAACAACCTGGGCATCCCAGCACGGCCGCTACCTGTGCCAGCGCATCGATCTCCTCCCGCGGCAGCGGCGTGCGATGGATGCCTCGGGGCGCCACCGGTAGTGGGGTGAACCGACCTCATGGGCATCTCTCTAAATCTAGAAGAAACCCCTTTGGCGAATGGCTAAAAAGTGAAAGCGAGTCGAGGTGTGAAATTCCCCCAGTCAGGGATGTGTCAAAACTAGGAACGCGTTCTGGGGCGGTTGTTTTACATGATCAGAAACAGCGAGCGCATTATGAGACCAACCAATTGGGAGGAGGTCGCTCGAATTCGCACCAACGCCCTGGGAGCTGGGGTATTTACATGTCGTCAGTCAATTTCTGAGACACTGTTGTTCTGAGACACACTAGATCTCCAGTGGCAATGGGGAGGGAAGGGCCCGTTTTTTTTTGCGAATTGGTTTTAGAGGCAACCTCCCAGAAGAAAAAGGACACAAGTGGAATTCTGGGACACTCACATCTCAAGCCACTGGTTGCAGAAACGAGGCCACCGAGGCAATCGCTGGACAGCCAGGCTGCAATCAACAAGCCGAAGACCGCCACTGCCTCTGGAGCCGTTTGTTCGAGCCAGGTCGACATCGGCTTTCCTTGAGTGTTGAAGGGCAGGGTGAGGCTCCTCCAGTTCCAGTTCTCTAGCCTCTCTCATGAAGCACAAATACAATTCCAGGGGATGCCCCCCCTCCATAATTCCATTTTTGAAGGGTTAAATTTTGTCAAATTGCGAACCTAGACAAAATCGCCAATAGCCTATCCCCTTTTATTTCAAGGCCATCGAATTTTCAGCCATTGCTTTGTCCTGCCCGCGAACCCGAGACAAAGACTTCGATGGTCCATACTCAGCAAATGAACATGTAATATTATAGCGTGTTTTTGTACATAAACAAAACGCGATCTGCGATCCCACATAATATAATAGTGTGTCGGACGTGGATGGAACATCTGGCAAAAGAAGAAGCTGGTGAACTATCGAGTAAGTCCCGCTGACTACGTGTACTCAATCGTCTACTTCGCCTTTGGCCAAGCTGACAGTGGCCCGAATGCAAGTGTAGCGTAGATGGGTCTTTATGATATTGGGGACCCGCACGGTATGAGATTGGGGACCAGCAAGGAGATTCGCCGCAAAACAGGGACTCCCTGATTGAATAAATAAAGAGAGTTTGCTTCTCCGAAAGCCCTGGGTAGACCAAGGCTGGCACCAAGTAATATAACCTCAGCTCACAGGCGCGACATGAGCAAATGACGGAGCCTTCTTTGGGTCTTTGACGGGCTGTCACGGGGATCCTTGCATCGCGCTTGTTCCACTCCTTGAAGGGATACAGGTCACAGGCCCATCTTGCTCTCAACACTGAACGAGCTTTGACATGAACTGAAACTGGACGCCATCCCTTTCGGGCCTTCCGGGGCCCCAAAGTCGATGGAAGGCTCAGATCAGCCGATCCAAACTGAGCCCTCGCGCAAGGCGAAGATTCGCAGCTTGGAGGCCATGGTGCCCGGCTGAAGCTAATGGACTGGAAAACAGAAATACAGTACTTTGGGATGTAAACCAATCTTTTGTGAGGGTGTTCCTCATGTTATTGGAATTTATCGGCCAGCTTGGGGCCAACGGTCCTGCTGACCATGTCGAACTGGAGTGTAGCGACTGCTGAGGAACCTGTGCTGATGGTCTAAGGTTCCGAACATATTCAGGAAACATGGCACTTGCATGCCAGTCTGTGCACCAGAACCAAATGCGGAAAAAAGAGTTGTTTCTCTGGAATGCTAATGCTTTCATCTCTCTGTTGGGCATACTGCATAGTGTGATTAGTTGCGAGATCACTTGGAGCCGTTGGCAGCGCAAGCGATGCAGCAAGGTGGTATGCCCATACACTGGTTCGACATCGTGCACTTTCTATCAGGCAACAGTACAGTCATCGGAAACCACTGCAGATGGGAATCCGTTCAAAACTTGGCTCGTTCCCAAACGAGGTCAAGCCACCCACACAACTCAGTGCAACAAGGTCGCCTTTTCTGAAGCGCCCGTTTACGGCTCGTCATCCGCAGCTTCCTTGCGGCGAACATCCACCTTCTGCCCGCTTGAGTGCCCAGTGGTCACACAGACACAAAGCACCGAATCTTCCCACCCCCTACATTGCTGGGCAACAAACAGCCACACAGTTGGCAGAACTGCAGAACCAAAAAAGCAAAACGCGCAATGCATACATTGGAGCAATGCATACAGTAGATGGACAAAATCCTTCATGTGTCGGGATGGGTGAAACCCTATGCATTATGCATGTGCTAAACCACACCTACCAACTGGTGCAGGATTTGGGCGGCACATGAGAGTTACACGATGAGAGTTCTGTCGGTTGGGGGAATTCGGCGGCACATGCACACAACCACGCATGTCAAAGTGCGACTGGGCAGCAGGGTTCATCAGCCTGGAAGTTTCACATTGACATGAATCGAGAACCTTCATCATGGATCCACCGGTCGTTTCACAGATCTGTTGCGATGTTGCCAAGATTCTTGCAACAAACCTCAAGGGCAAATCAAGCAATCCTGCAGTGAAACAGAACAAAAGAACAAGGACACTACATTGCTCGGATCCTCGTCTTGCAAAAACATCTGATTGACTTATGCTATATTTGAACCAATGCCGTCCAATCTACAACGACATGCGGCGCGCAATGTTTTTCAAGATCCCTGACCTACTAGCCAATGAAATCCATCAACCCAACAGGACCTCTGGATCATCGCTCTAGTTGGAACTTTCTGAGCCTTAGTGCCACTTCATGCTAGCCAGCGCACGACAGAGTTGGGCCGTTTCATCAGTTTCGACTTATTCACAACTGTCGGTTCGCCCTTCTTCAGATTGAATTTCAATCCTGTCATGTTAAAATTCCTGATAAATGGTTTACTTGGCGCAACCGAATGTGCAATATAATCAATGATCACTTTGGATAAATCCAGAAAGCCACACTAATCAAGGGAACCCTGCCTGGAATGATCCAGCTTCGTGCAAAAAATGATTGCAATGGATGTTCAACCCACTTAGTCAGTACAGGTCACAATCATGGTGATAACTGGGCTCAACTCTCTTCTAGTTATGGTAAGCTGAGCATCCAACCACCCTGGCGAGCGTATTCCGAGTCCGTTCGCGGCTGGTGCCTCTGATTTCCTCCTGGCGGCCAGCTGCGCCCGCCGTTGCTTCCTCGACTTCGCAGACTTCGCATCCGGGGGCTTCAGTGGCGACTCTGGGGGTTTCGGAGATCTAGTTGCCTTTGGTTGGGTACCTCAGAAACCCAGTACGCTTTGTAGGTTTACAACCCTCTTTGTAACCAACGGTAGTATCATAGGCGGCCAAGTTCCGAGGAGGTGAAGAAAGCGGCTTTGGAAGGCAGCCAGCGCTTCCAACTAAAGGAAGCAAGCAGAGCGGCTTTGGAAGACTGGAGTCGCGTAATTGAAGCCTGTTGCAAGCAACATGTAGTCATGTACAAGCGTTCTCGGTGAGCACTCCTCCGTCGACTGGGTGACCTGAGTTTCATAGGCAATTGTCAGGCCTTGGGTTGTCTTTGTGCTTACCAAAAGGGACCACCGTTTCGTGATGTGATGGGGGTTTCCTACAAACGGTACGCGTCTGGTTTCACAGCAGGGTAAAACGCAACCCTTTCACAGGGGGGGTGCATTACTCTAGGACACCAGGATATCAGCATCTGCACTTCTATCATTCACTCACTGGACATGGGAAAACTAGGAATCGCTAATTGAATCCACCCGTCGGTGAGCATGTTTTTTTTGGAGTGAATTTGGTGCAATTAGTGGACCCTCTGCCCTCAGTCAGCCATTTCTGAAAGAACGACAAGTTGCGGTTTCCATTTGGATCCCTTACTAGGAAACAGCAATCGGTTACCCTTTAGTTCCTTAAACCCTTTAATATACTTCAAAAAACAGCATTCTTGACCGGACCTACACAAAAGCAAAACACACAGGAATTGGCAGCACAAATCTAGGCGCGCCCTGACAAAAAACATTCTTCCCAGGGGATGCGTGTTATTGGGCGGATTTTGGGCGCTGTTATTACGGCTCCACCCCAAGCCTGTAGGCATCTCGCACAGCATCAGCGATGTGGGGCGGTGGCACAACCTGGCACCACTAAGATGCGAATCATGCGAGCCCGAAAACTTCCAAACTGGCTGCGTGTCAAAGCCAAAGATCCCTTGATGATTTCGAAGGGGACCACCATGAAACCAACCATTTGGGCCCAGGCTTTCATGTGTCAAACCGGACGTGCTTGCGCACGACCGCCTTCACGATGTTGTCATCGTGGTACATCACGGACACCACTTCACCGGATCTGAGCGCCGAAAGCACAGTGTGACAGCTGACCTGCCGCAAACTGAAAAAACATATCCGAAGTGAGCTTCCGGCAGGCTATCCCTTTTCAGCCTCAAGAACCTTTACGGCAAAGTCCTGTTTGGGTCATTTTGGCATGTCCGATATGGCATGGTCTCCATCGCAAGTGCTTATCCACTCCAAACTACACCCTGAGCCACTGCGACGGAGGGCTATACCTTCCACAACGATTTCCCTTTGACGACTTCAACAAGAAAGGGACCTGTTTGGAAGGGGGCTTCTGCACATCCCCAGGGGCCCCAATATTGTTTTTGACCACAATCGAGACAGCCAAGATGATTGACGACTGCATGACAAAAAAACTGTTCCAAATACAAAGCTCAACGCTAACATCACAGAGAAGGGATTTGTCACAAAAAGGTACTAGAGGACTATGCATTGAAATCATCCATATACATAATATATATATATATATGGTACAGCGTTGCCAGCCCCCCCCCCCCATGGTCATGGGTCAGACAAGTACCCCACCCCCTGTGGTTGTGGTCCTGTGGTTGGGTTGTGGTGGTTTAGGGTTGGTTTAGAATTGGTTTAGGGTATATTTAGGGTGTATTTAAGGTTGATTTAGGGTTGGTTTAGGGTTGGTTTAGGTTTAGAGGTGTTTAGGGTTTGGTTTAAAGTGTATTTAGGGTTAGGGTTAGTTTAGGGTTGGTTTAGGGTTCGTCTAGGGTTGGTTTATGCTGATTTAGGGTTGGTTTAGGTTTAGAGGTCTACGGTTTAGGGTTTGGTTTAGGGTGTATTTAGGGTTGGTTAGGGTTAGTTTAGGGTTGGGGTGGGGTGCCGGGGTGTCGGGGCGCGAGTTCAGGGGGTCGGGGTGCGAGTTCAGGGGGTCGGGGTGGGGGTGGGACCGTAGGTGCCAGGATCCGGGGGCTCGGGGTCTCGGGCCGGTATGGGGGTGGGGGGGGGGATAGCAACACGGAACACGGGACCATATACACGATTATTCCTTCACCCCACAATGCACTGTCAGAGAATGTTCTGAAACCCGGCTCGCAATTACCTTACAGCAGGGTCAAGGCTCTCAACCAACAGGGTGGTCGGACAAAATAATAATGTTCCGGTCACTTACTTGCATAATTATTCTGCAGCCAAGCGAAACAAACACAAGTTGTTTCGCAGATTCATGCGGAACTTCCGAGCTCCACCTGCGCCGAGGTCCTTGACATGCGCACAGGTGCACACCAACCAACGTACAACGATCGAGACTGTAGACGCCACAAGTCACTTTTGTGTCTATTCCAGGTAAGTCTCTGTGATCTTTTTTTGCAATGGGGTCGACTGTCGGTCGATTTAAGGGTCAGAAGATTACCTTTCAGTGTACATTCCAGGCCTGGGATCCATATCTATTAGGTCGGCAAGATGCCAAGCTGCTATTCACAGCTGTGCCCTTGCAGGCCCCATGGGTGTGTCTCTAAATTGGGAAACCTAGAAAATGGCATGTGCTTCGCTATTTCCTGTAGTTTGCCTCTGAAGCAAGCCCTGAAAAGGGTACCATGAGTATCCTAAAAGACACACCCTTGTCAACTTGGGAAAAGAAAGCCCCAAGGCCGGGGACATGAAAGGGGATTAGACTGACCAGCTTCCAAGCAACACCCGCGACCAAGTACAAACAGCATACAGCAACAAATTCATCTGAGCTGGCCATGTGCAAACACGGGACAATATGGACTAGTGGCAGACACCGATCCGGCTCGCTGCCAAAACCAACCAAGCAGCCATTCATAGACCAATCCGAATGACGCAAATCAATGATTGCATCCATCCGCTGTTGGCTTGGAAGGCGTAGTTCCACATGTCCTTGGCCGGCGCTACCATTGGCGACAATGCTCAAATTGTCATAGCTGAAATTTGGCTGTTGTTTTGTCCGGATGCAAAGTTTTTGGGTAAAATAAAACAACGGCATCGGACTGCCACTGCCCTGCTAACGCGTGCGGAAACGCTAGCACATGCGACACTGTCACTGTTGTCATGTACAAGAGGCCAATTAATGTCACCATCTGATGAAACAAAAACATGAGATTAAAGGCGTCCCCTTCTTCCACCCGACTGCCAGCCAATACCACTTTAAAGGCGCCCACAAAATGACCCCTCCTATTTCAAATTTGGGCAAACATTTAGATTACGCCACTTTTGCAAGTACTTCTGCCAATACTAGCTTCTTTTACAAATTTCAAGGGTTACCTTTCCAAAAACAAAAACCAAACACACCCAAACAGGAAGCCCAGAAAAAGCAAATTGTGTATTCTGTGCTGCTTGAACAACCAAGGCTTGACAAGCTCCCCACCCTCCCCCTTCAAGGCCCCCAATACAAAAGCTTCCCCGCTCTCCAGCCCCCAGTTGTACAGCTTTGTCATAGCGGCACCGAAGTGGTCCCCCATTTCCGAATCTGCACGTGTTTTACCAGCCACGGTAGAGACCAGTGCAAGTCCAGGGTATTCAACCATTTCGCAACTCACAAGAACCCCATCGAGGCAGGGCCTGCATTTTGCACAAACAAACACAAAAGCAAGCAAACAAACAAACAAAGAAAACAAAATCATTGCAGCGCCAGGCTCTCAGGATTTGCCGCCTCTGATGCACCTAGAGGACGTCCCGTCAAGCCTGGTCCACTGATCGAGTACTTCTGCGCCATTTTTTTCACATTGGGGGGCTCGAGGTTGAGTGCTCTGATGACAGTTGACTGACTCTCCATGGCGTCCATCGAAAGTTGGCGCGAAAAATTGGGAAAAGCGGCTGCGAGCCTAATGCGCACATGCAAACCAGCACCACGTAAGCGCCCATTTCTGCATTTCTGCACAACAAAAGTCGGCTACTTCAAAAAGGCCAGGTCCCATAAGGGCCATGCAACAAACCAAGCGGAGCACTGCGATCATCATGGTTGACTCAGCGGTGGACTGCAGCATCTCCGCTGCATCTCCGAGCTGGGCTCGGGAAACTGCTACCTGGGCCATGAGGATGCGGGGTGTGCCTTTTTACCATTTGAGCTACCTATAAAATCACCATAAAGGCCTAAACGATTAGGCTTTGAATGGAGGTGTAGGCAATTGTATCGCCAAATTCAATAATACGATGTTCAAGTGTGAAATTATGTAGCCCCTTCTACTGCCAGGACGCTGGAAAAGAGAGTAGTCGTCCTGGTTTGCGTTCTGTGGGCGATTCCCCAATGTCCCCCCAAACTGCATGCTTTCTCTGTTGGGGAAACAGCGGACGATGTATGGATTCTACAGATTCTGGCGGGTCTCATGATAGCCAGGTGAGCATCGCTCAAAGCGCGTGGGCTTTTGGCTCTAGCAAAATGGCTATCAAGATCTCTACAGCCTTGCCCTACGTAGCCTCATGACACGAATAAAACTAGTAGAACCGCCTACTAAAATGGCCAATGCTCCCCTGCAAGTTAACATGGAACCCAACAAAGGGGATCATTTTCAGGAGAGCAGGGCGTTTTGGAGTTTGATCATGCGGACCTCATTGTAATCAGCGTCCGCCAAGACGAGCCACTTCTCATCCTGCGGGAATGGTGCAAGGCCAAGCCGTGGATACGAAATCGGCGGGCGCAATGGGCAATGACAATGGACAAATGTGGTAAACTGGGTTAGTTTGTGACAATTTCGTCGAGTGGGTAACATGTTGCATTTATTCGTACATATTCCCATAGATTCCTTCATTGCAGCTTCATGACTGGAGTCCCGTGCTTTGCATGCGATTGAGGCATGGGCCAGGCCTTGTACAGCACTGGCATGCTTACGCGATCGCAGTTGATGACGTCGACGCGGTCGTTCTGCCGAATCGATGCAGCCCGACCAATGCATGCCTCTGGTTGCAACCAGTTGTAACCATGGAGTCTTGCTCCTCAAGTCGGGGTGGGGAAACCCCTACCCCATATGTTTCCCTTTAACACCAAGCCAAAAGGGGCACCCCCACAAGCGCACCCGAAAGCACAGGGGAACAAATGCTAGCTGATAAGCAGCCCCTTCGCAACATGGATGGATGCGCATGGGGGGGCCAAGGGGCAATGCCCTGCTCTGTTGCTGTAACTTGCAAGCGAGACCAGTTGGACTCCCTGGTGTCCAAACTGGCAACGGTTTCATCCTCTTTGATCACCCCCAAAGCGGAAGTTGCCCAGAAAATACATGCGACAGACTCTTCGTCAGACAGGGGGTTCACATACCTCAACTGGGTTCCTAAGATCCCAACCCACTCTCCTGACCCCTCTTAGCCTGATTCCTCCAATAAAACCACCTTGTCGACTGGTTCAGAAAGGGGAACGGGAAGATCATAGCCCTGAATGGTCCTTGGCAAATCTTAGCAGCCAGTCTCTTCTAGACTGCAATGGCTCCTTGCTATTGCTCTAAACCAGTGGACGAAATCCTGCGCCCCGGTTCCGGCTGTATGAAAGGCGGAAGGCTCGGGTTTCCGCCACTGGCGCGCGACTCGGACTTCCCGGACTTCCTCCCATCCATCCTCGCCTCCTTCAGCTTCATCTCCCGCGCCTTGCGCGTCTGGAGCTCCCGGAACCGGATCTGAGCCCAACTGGAAGGGAGCACCAGTCAGCGCGAGCTATGTGTATGTTCTATATAAGTCACACAACATGTGCATGTAATGTATAGTAAACCTATACACATATAGATGTTATATTATATATTATGTGCTAGTGTCGGTGCATGGTGTTTATCCATTCTCTGCAGTGTGTGGTCCAGTATCTGGACTTCTGGTGAAAACTGCATGGTAGAAACTCCGAAAGGGCATGGATCAACTACCTTCCCACCAATACACATGAACGTGCGCAGGGTCCTTTTCCACAGGGAAAGTGTTCCAAAACGGATCTGTGCACCATGGTAATTCTATAAACTCCCTAGGAACCCTAGATTCTAACAGGATCAAGATGTCAACAAGACTCAGGGTTAGTTCCTTGAACTAATCGCCACACATTAGTGATCAACATGATCAACTCACCAATCGTAGCTTTCTGGCTCCCCTGCCTCAAAGCCTCCGGTGGCTGACCGCCCGTGCCCGGCCGCCCGCGCGCTGCGGACCTTGATGCACGGAGTCCCTCCGAACTTGTGCGAAGCCTGGCCTCTGCCAACTTATGCAACCCCCACAACCCCGGCCCTTCAAGTAAAACGTAAAACATATGCAATCCCCCCTCACACGCCTGCGACATCCTGGCCCCTTCGGCAAGCTTCTGCAAAGACTGCAGGTCCAACAAAACACCTGCGAAAGCCAAGAGCGGAACATACTCCAGACTGCGTGCACTTGCGTTCCTATGCACCAATACATCCCATGCACAAAATGATCGGCCCACAAAGACAGTGCGAAGCCAGGGATTTGCTAGTCATCCCAGGCTGCCCAACCCCACGTCTAAACAGACGATCTCTATGCTGTAGGGATTAAGTAGAACAGCCCTGCGATCTGCTCTGCCTTTTTGCGAGTGCCCGAGTGCAAGATCAATTGAAACAAACGATTGTGGCTTTAGATGTAGCTGTTGTCCAAAGTCAGACATCTTGGCGAGCCTTGCGCGCCAAAAGCTAAAGCAGGAGGTCGATGGAGGCGCTTACTTGTTCCCAGTAGGAATAATCATGAGCGAGAATGGAGTGGTAGCAAAGGAAAACTTGCCCGTGAGAGTTGTCAGAGCCAGAGCTGGGCACGGCTGGAAGGAGGCAAGCCGAGGAATTATACGCTGGCTGAAGCGAAGAAGCTGCAAAACATGCGGCTGGCGAATCATACGGCCCTGTGCAGAAGTTGCTTGCACGAGTGATGGCCCAGAGGCGGCAGCCCCGGCAACACTCTGGAATGCCTTGAAGCAGTGCCTCCCAATCATTTGAAGCTTCCCTGTGAATCTGACTTGAAAACCACGACCAAAAAGGGACTATCAGGGTTATGAAAGGCACCTGTGCAGTTTGTCGAAAATGGCGGAATGCCGCATCAACTGGAAACACGGCTACACAGCTACTTTCGGGGCCGCCCCGACTCAATTTCTGAAATCCGATTCAAAGGAGTTCCTTTGACTTACCAAAGAGCTGACAGTGGCAAACCCTTCCAAGGGGGTAGGTGAAGTTGAGGTAGCTGCCAAATATCTGACACATCTCATGTCTGCAAGCTAGGATGCCCGCTTCGCAATACACGCCTGGCGCGAAAACTCGGGGTTTGACGGCCAGGCATTGCGGCAAAAGCGGATCTTTGCACATTTCCAAAGCAGGACAGGAAGGTCATACTGCCTTTTACAAACACACACACACACACGGAGCTGTGGCATGCCCATGCGAAGCAATCACATCCAACGAGCAACATTCTCCACAGATTCAAGTAAGGCCTCCCCGAGATATGCTGCAGGAGTATGCTGCACAGCAATCGCCCCTTGTCAATGGACCAACCAGCTTACTCTAGGCATGAAAGCTGACAGCAGCAGCTTGGACGTTGATGTGCGGTAGAAATGGTCCAACGCGTGCGCTTGGAAATGGTCCAACGCGTGCGCTTGTTTTAAGCGCCTAAACAAATATATGGATGTGTGGGATACTTGCACACTAACACAAGCCCTGATCATAAGGTAGTAACGTGTATTTAATTGACGCGAGGGGCTTGAATGTTTGAGGCATGCAGGTACCTGCGAGAATGGTCACTACTTGGTATCTGGCGGTTAGACGGCTGTGTAGTTTCAGTAAGATTGACGTCGACTGCAACAGCAACCGTCTGCTCTGAACTCTACTGGAACTGCGCACTGATCTGCCGGCTTTCTTTGTTCAGGGACGAGAAATCGCATCCTCCAAAACTCGGTGGAGCTACATTATTCCAGGACCTCCACTCACAGTGTCAGGCCTAAGTACACAGTTCACTTGTCGCAGTTCGGGGGTGCAGGGCTGAACCGGCGCACTGAAGCGGGCGCGCTTATCATCTGGCAGGCGTTGGCGCAGTGCTGAGCTTTGGCGCTTGAGCGGGTGCACTTATCATTTGGCAGACCAGACACCCCGAGAAGGCGAATATGTGGCCCAAAAACAGGTGCTGTAAGTCTAACTGCGTGCAAAGGCCAAAACCAGAAGCCTCCGGGCATGGAACAAATCATGGACACTACTGGAATCTGACGGCCGTCTACCGGCCGGCTTCTCACTACTTGTCAACATCTGAAGTACCTTTGAAGCGTGGGCCATGCTTCTTTGGAGTGGGTGCTGGGTCCCCGTGACTTCCTTCATACAACTGACAGCCAGCAACTCAAGTGTCTCCTAAATCATCACCGATGCTGCAAAACAATGGCGCCGCCCGCACTTCAAGACCATTCTTCAGGGTTCCCACACCCGCGCGGCCACCTTCAGCGGCACCTGATTGCCACTCGTCGAGCTGCCCACATTGGGATGTCCGCACGAAATGCTGGGATCCCAACCTCCAATCCACAGGCTGCCCCCATGATCCCTTGTTTTCGCCGCAAGACCCTTAAAACGGGGGGGGGGGCATCGGGTAGGGGAGGGTTTGTATCCCAAGAGCCCTGCTCCCCGCGCCTTTGTGCAGGAACACATGCCCACGCTGAAGGTCCGCAGATGGAATCCGATCCTTGTGCTTGGTGACTGGCTCGCACTCTCAATCCCCGTACCACCCTGCAATCGTGGAACAAATCCAACACCTGAAGTAGGGGATCACTACCTTTTCTCCGCAGGGTAAGCTCGCCACAACATTCTACGCGCCATGTGGATGAGGAAGATTTGGACAAACCACCGATGTTCCTTTTGGCCAAGGCTGAAATGAACTTGTTACTTGCGTCTTACAGGGAGTTCATAATCTAGCCAAGAGGGTGATTGTAAGCGGATGCGAACAGAGTCCAACCAAGCCTAGCATACTTGCCATCTTGAAACTCTGGCCAAAGCTGAGGTTCCCTCAATCGATGCTTGGATCTCAACGGATGACTCTGTTGAAGGCGGCACAGAACGACACAATTGACACCATGGCTTCAAAAGGGGCCCGCTGTTGTCAACCGTTGCGGACTGAGAGTCGCTCGACGCCATGCGGCAGAGGATTTGGCCCTGCAGCTTCCGTAAGCCACGCAACATAGCCGCATCCACACGCTCCAATTTGGAGCCACCCTGACAAACTAATAAAGGGGGAATGCTGTCTGGGGCTCGCTTACTTTCTGACTGCTGATTACATGACCAGCTGTGTGTGTGTGTGTGTCTCGCTCTTTCTGTCTCTTTGATTGATTCGCCCAAGTGCAACTGGGTAACAACAACTTTACATCCAGTACATAACAAGGTGATGCGGCAGCTAGTTGAGGTCCATTCCCTCAGCATCTCAGCACGAATAGTGGGTGATGTGATCCAAACGTAATGGAGGCACAAACTGTCGGTTCTTGAGTCTGCAAGCTGGCTTTGAGCTTTTTGGCTATACCGGTGGCACTGTCGTGCATATTCAGCAAGAAGCGGCAGACATACACATAAACTATCACGGAAACTGGCTCCGGAACCTCAAGCAAAGTGCGTGCCTGGCAGGAACCTTGACATATCCGGCGGTCAAGCGCTCCTTTTTGCCGGTCGAGCTGGCTTTTCGCAATGGTCAAAACTCCTTGGAGATGTCCAGTGTTGCACCGCTTTTCCAAGGGGCTTCCCAACAAAGGTGACCATGTTGTCATCCCCCGTGATTGTGCCATCTTCTCCAAGGCAGGATCCAAGAGTTCTGACCATGGCGGGGTGTTTCTCAAAATGAGGGACGCCAGTTCTACTGGCCTCAGGGACACCAAAAGCACACCAAACATTTGTAGGTGCCCTCTATTTTGGAAGCCAAGCAAGGAAACTAACCCGTTCAAGAAGCCCTCTGTCCTATTTTCGGAAACACCCTCCGGCAAAGCTACTCACTCAGGAGACCATCCTCAGACATGCGAGATAAGGTTCAGGTGTCCCCAACTAAGTCAGAGTCAACACCTGGGAGATCGAGTCTATCCCAGCCAAATAACAAAACGGTGGATTCCCGCTCCTGTTCTACAGCAAGGGGACTGTCCCTACTGGAAAAATATACTTAGGCTTTGATTGTGTCTCAACTGACGAGGCAAGTATAGGCAAGTTGCAATCAATCACCTAGGCAAAACGCCACCCTTTGTTTGGTTGTTCTGCTTGGATCTCTACGCAACTGATCATTCTCGTTGTGACAACCCCTTGAAGGGCAAGTACTCGCATGCCCGCATGCCCTTTGACAGCAGCCAGCCTCGTTCGCATCGCCAAAGCTCCAGCACTGGCTTTGAAACCTGGCGCTCGGCGCCAGAAGGGGTAAAGCAACCAATCGACCCCTTGAAAGGAAACCCAAAAGTCAGGATGCTGAAACTGTGGTTTCAAGGAGCTTCACGGCTTGCAGCTGGAAAGGTGGCTTGTTCAAGGTAGGGGATCCTTTGGATGCACCTCGCATGACCAGTGTAGCCGATCCGAAAGAGTACAAGAATCACTAGAGATCCAAAAAAGAAAACAATGGGTGCAAGTACAAAGGCTAAGAGGGTATCGACCCCTCGTACAAAACCCCACGTTGAATCGAGCTTGAGCAAAGCCTTCAAATATATTGTAGGTACATGTACTGGGCCAATCTTGTTTGCTTCCATGCCCAAGGCTCTCCTGAACTCAAAGCTCATCCGAACATCGGGAGCATCCAAACTGTGTACATTTGTTTGTCTCTACCCTTCTGTGGGCATTGAAGTTCACACACTCAGTGACTCATAGGCAGTTGCTTGCCGCCTGGCCAGGCCATGAGTAGTTGCCACATATTGACAATGCCAGACACCCGCAGTGGGACACGCAGCCGGGCACCAGTGAAACATGTCGCAACCCTTGCGCGGGCTCTCGTTTGGACCTCGCGCCATTCTGGTGGGCCTTCCAGCTGAACCTCTTCTAAGATCGAACAAACACGCACACGCACACACACACACACACAAAACAAACCCACAGACACAAACACACAGACACACAGACACGCAGACACGCAGACACATAGACACACAAACACGCGGACAAACAGACACGGAGACGCAAAGACACAGAGACGCAGAGACATAGACACACAGACACACGGACAAACAGACACGGAGACGCAGAGACACAGAGACGCAGAGACAGAGACACACAGAGACACAGAGACACAGAGACACAGAGACACACAGACACACAGAGACACACAGACACACAGAGACACACAGAGACACACAGAGACACACAGAGACACACAGAGACACACACAGAGACACCACACACCGCACACAAACACCACACAAAACACACCACACACACACACACGCAAACCACACACACACACAAACCACACACACACACACAGCACACGCACACGCGCACGCACACGCACCCCGACGGACGCTCGCACACACGCACACACACACACACAAACACAAACACACAGACACACAGACTCGCAGACTAACGGACGCACAAACACGCACACGCACAGGCACCCCCACGCACACACGCACACACGCACACACGCACGCACGCACGCACGCACCCACACACACACACACACCCACACACCAACACACCAACACAAACACAAACACAAACACTCACACACACACACTGACACACACACACACAGACGCGCAAACGCACAGACGCACAAACACGCACACGCACAGGCACCCTTGCACACGCGCACGCACGAACACACACGCACACACACACACACAAACACAAACACAAACACTCACACACAGACACGCAGACACACAAACGCACAAACACGCAAGGCCGCAAGCACACACACACACACCGGCGGGCGGGCGGGAGTCTTAGCCCTCAACTGGCTTTGTTCTTTTTGCCATCCGTTGTTCCTCAACTTCTCACGTGGTCCAAAGGCAATACGGAAATACAGACACACTGTTTGGAGGGTCGATTGGCAGGGAAAGCCATCAGCGCGGTGCGGCAACCTTCCCAACGACTTCCTTCCGGCACGGCCTTGCCCTCGGCGAAGAAGAGGGCCACGTTGCCGAGCCAACGTCTGAGCTCCAGCACCTGGGATTGGCCCAAATTGGTACACTGAACATCCTGTGGATCATGTTTCATATTTAGCCGATCCAAAAATGCAAACTAATGTTTGAAGGAGACTGCGGTATGAAGCGGGGCTCCCACGAAGCCAAACTCCTCTAAAGAAGTGCTGCTTGGGGGATCCATGATCATCTGCAGTAGAATAAGCGGAAAAAGCCCGGTACGCGGGTGGGGATTCCATGTCTGTGATGGCCACTGTCAAAGGTTGGATTATGATGCCCGAGCCGCGATTGAATCACTCACCGTGGTTTCCCTATGTTCCCCCTTCAAGGGCGATGGTCTGGCGCTTTGAATCAAGCTCGTCTGAGGCTCCTTTGAAGTTGCAAACCCTGGGCATCAAAACCAGCTACGCACCGCCATGTCAGTTCCTTGTGGACGTCAACAAGCCCTGGTCACTAAGGGTCCCTCACATGCCAAAAACAAGCGCCCAAACCCGTGTCAATGCCTTCAGATCTTGATTGATAACATAACTTGTGGAACGAGCACCCTTCCTCCTTTGGTCAAGGGACATGCTTGGGGGCAAACGGACAGCAAAGGTCCACCTGTTGCTTGACGAAACTCATGAGAAACGCGAAGCTCGGTAATTAGCCAAGCAGAGGCGGCCAAGCAAGGGGGGGCCTTTGAAACACTCTGCTGGGCAAATCACCTTGTCCTCCTCAAAGTTGCAGGGCGGGTTGAGGAACAGCGGCAACGCCTCAAGGGGCTGCTACAAGAGAAGCGTGGCGAAATGCAAAAACGGACACTCTGACAGCGAACTCTGGTTGTAGCCATTCGGGTGTGGCTGATCCTACATTACTTTCCTTCCAACACAAAGAATTGATCCGTACTGTGCGTGAAGTGTCCTTGAACATGTCGACCGTACCATAAGGATAATCACGACTCTTTGGGCCGGCTTGAGGCTGCTTGCCCTGCGCGCTCAGGGTCTGGAAATCTTCCGCATGCTTGGGGTCTGGAAAGCCCATCAGAACATGAAGTTCACTGGGTGAAGCCACTTGATGGCTATTCTGGAGATATTCCGGGGAAAGCGAAGATTTGCCAAACAACTACGACAACCCCCTGTTACGCAACCAAATGTTCCCACATGCTATCCCGAGTTCCCCCGCATGTTCCCACGCCAAAGCGACCCTGACACTATCAAGCGAGATATCAACACCGAGGACATGGAAGAGCTGAGATGCCCGGCCCGTTGCCGCACGGAAAGGGCATCTAAGTACACCTGCAAGCCAAATGGTTCGTTGCGCGAAACGGTGGTTGACATGCGTGGTTGTATCGCGTGTTACTTCATTTACTTGAAGAGTGTTTTACAACTTACTTTCTTCGGTGGCCCGAGTTTGGACGGTCCATATATGGGAGTGCCTCACAAGGCGATCCGACTCATTTGCACCGAATGATAGCCCTGCCTTTCCAAGGCCGCCGTTGCTGAGCACCTTCACTTTGAGACTGCTTTCAGAAATCGGTCTGCAGAAGACCTCAAGCTGTCAGGCCCAGAGCCCAAACACCGGTCACGCGCGTCAAGCTCCCGTGGTCACTCCCATGGCAATATGTGCGGTGAATTATGGTCGTGCATAAACGGCCATATGCGGGCTTTGGCAGATTATGGGCACATGTCAATTGGGGTAACTTTGGGAAGTAAGAGATGGCACGAAACGGATGACCATCAGATGTTTCTCACTAAAACTGCCGAGCATGTCCTCCGGAATGAATCTTAAATATCCAGTAAGCTGAAACCAAATGCTCACAATAATGCTACCCTTCACGGGCAAGGCTTCAATTCTTTTGGATATCGATTTCCGAATCAAGGCTCCAAGTCTCTGGGAGGGGAGGGGTGGCAACATTGCAGAACCACCTGGACAAAATTACTATTCCTTCAATTCATCGGGAAATTGAGTTGGGCCCCCATGTCCTTCTCAAACCATGAATGGACTAACCTGAAAATCAAAACCTGGTATCAAAGTGGTCTGCCCAAAGACATGTGAAAAACGAAGGGTGGCCGCACCCATGTACTTCGATACTTCACGTCTCCAGGCTTCGCTTGGGAAGCTGAGGCCACCGGCTCTCGCCAGTTTTCTCGCGACTACCGATTGCTGCATCGAAAAGTTCTCCTGGATCTTACAAGCGGGAACCTCCCCCCCCCCCAGAAATGAGTGGTGTTCATTCTGGCTTCTCTTTCAAGCCAGACCCTCAAAAACGGGTACCCTCAAGAAAGCCAGACCTTCAAATCAACGAACCCAAGCGAGGTCAGGGGGCCATGTTTATCTCCAATGGGTAAAGACAATCATCACTGAGTGAACTTCATTCTGACACCTGCAGGTCAGAAGTGGCTCGTCCCCCCCAAAATGTCCGGGTTTGGTGGGAACTTGGGTAATCAATCTGCTTGTCAAGTCATGGTACAGTTCAAGCCATCAATATTGCAAGCAGAACATGTACGTATCTTACTGCAATTCAGGGCCGGCAGACTTGCAAGCATGGAGAAAACAAGCATGCAAACAAATCCGCCGTGCTGCCAGTTGTGCGCCATCCACAACCGCGTCCTCGATGCTAAAGCCGAGAATGTTCTTGAGGGGAACGATGCTCACGTTGTCTACCTTGCAAACTCGTACCCGAGCCCGTTCTGGCTCCACTGCTCGACGTGCTCAAGAATTGTCTGCGTGGGTGTGATTTAGGTATTCAATAGGAAATCCATGCGACAGCTTTTTCATGTCCCTTGTCCAGCCTTCTGGCATCACCCCGCTCAAGAAGATTCGGTTCAAATAGCCTGTCAGTTGATGTTCGAACCACTAACCGTCGCCACGATTGTAAAAACCACCTCAGCTTTTTCCCCCCAACTTGTAGTAGACGTCTGATCCACAGTTCAGCTGGGCAGCAGGAGCTCGATGGAAAATCCCTCCGCAGCAAAGAGGACCGACACTCCTGGCAGCAAAACGACTTCCCGTCGATTGAAGAATGGCTTGACGGCTCACATGCTGCGTGTTTGCTGGCTGCCCTTTCATCGGTTGTTTTGGTCCGCCTATTTTGACACACACACACACCCACACATAGAATCACATATTCCAAGTATTGCCCATATCAGCATGGCTATGTACTGTGGATCCATACAATAGCTACGTCACCCCCAAAGCGCCTCTTTCAAAGAATGACAACGCCTGAAACAACTCGCCCAATCCAGTGCAACGCCGCTCTCCGACCTTGATCGACATTTCGACGTAAATGCAAAGGTGCAACAGTCAGCTAATATAGATACAGGCGGATGCAGGTAGCCAAAATGGGTTGGTGACCAACTGAGGAACTTTCCCTTGGTTCCCCTTTAATTGCAACTTAACCCAAAAAAGCACGATCGAGGAACTTACACACTTTCAAATGATCAGATACCATCCATATCTTTCAGGCACTGACGCTTCAACTCATCTCAGCAACAAAACGAAGCCACGCGTAGTTGAAGTGATCATGGAAGAACGCTGCAAGACACACATAGACACCACACACACAACAAACACACACACACACACACATGCAAACCTCATCGCGTCATTGAACAAAATGAGTTGCCATTTGTTGCTCGCACGAGGTCGTGGTACATGCATGAGGCACATGCCCAAGCAACCTGCCCAGAAACGACCAAGTCGGCCTGGCCTGTACTGGATGACCTTGCGTCACATTTCATCACATCCAGAGATGGAAACCAAGGGACCAACAGTGTGGGACTTCCGCTGTGAGACCTGTTTATGCCACTCTTCATCTGGGTTCAATCCTGGTCGGTGGCGGAGCGCTTCAAGGGGAAAAGAAACGCCTTTCCAATGCGGTCTCAACCACACACCGGGGTTCAAGCCCTGAAAACCCATCGCAACCACCGACTCCTTGGGGCTTCAACCCGGCCAATGGGGCGCGGACGAAAGCAAGCCAAAACTCGCAGTTGTGTCGAGCCGCAAACTGGCCTTAAGACTCCCTGATTCTGAGACACAACGGCTGCTCCTTGGATTGCCATTGAGCTTGCCAAAGGCAAGCCAAATTGAGACAAATAACAAACCCATCTGCCGGCTTCCTTCTCGTCTACACTACAGAATTTGTTTCCCGACTTCAAGCCATGTCTGAAGCCAGGAAGGGCCAAATACCACTTGTTGAAACCAATTGACACCAGTTTACCTCTTACAGGTTTGGAAGGGGGCATGGCTACTAGAAGCCATTCTCGGCCCTTACATGGATCTGCCAGAAACTGTTTCAATTCGTGCCAGGTCCATCCTGCGTAACACCGCGGCTTTAGTGTCCTTCAAACTCACCTAACTCACCGGCAATCTTAAACAATCATTGAAGGGAAAGCACATAAGGGCGCGTTGCACAAAACACAACCCACTGGGGAAGACCCCTCCCACATCTTCCTCCACGGTCCCAAAAACCTCCCAGACCCGGTCGTTCAATTAGGGTGGAGGACGAATGAGCCCCATGGAAATTGCCAAGCTTTTCTTGATCGAGTCAATTTCCAAGCGTCGGGCAACCAGTCTGCGGTCCTTGGCTGGGGGTCTGCTGAGTCAATAAACGCTGTCATCCGTGTGTCCTGCAATGCAAGCCTCATCGGCCAGTATGCTTGCACGCCTGAAAAACCAGTGCGACAAACAACCACATGGCCCATGGCCAATAATGTTAGGACCGCTCCCATGAATCACCTGTCTCTATGCATGTGCAGCGTTTCAAGTCTTTGCTTCCCTCAGATCATCTTTTGCTCAGAAATCTAAGCATGATGATGGCAAAGAAGGCCCTGCACCATTGCACGTGGACTCTTGTCAATCAGAAGCATTGGTGCCCGTTCCAAGCAAGCCAACGCGCTTTTTTAAAAGGGAAAAGTTCACGCCCTAACTTTCCAATTGCCCAGCCACCGAGCCAAAGCCAAAATCCCCCGGGTCACTGGGGCTCAAGCGGTGATGGTGACGAGCGTAGATGGCCGCCTGGCGCTGAGCATCCGGAATGCTCAATATTGTATTGGGGACCCAAGTGTCGGCCTGAAGCGGCAACTGCGCCTTTTGGAGTTGGTCCCCTTGTTGAGTTGAAACGACACCAAAAGAAAACTGGGCTCTGTTGGTCCATGGGGTTCAGACAGATCAAATCTTGCGCATGGTGGTCCGATGTTCCTTGACACTGGCCTGAAAAATGAGATGGTGTCTTAAATGTATGTGTGGTGTGGTGTGGTGTGGTGTGGTGTGGTGTGGTGTGGTGTGGTGTGGTGTGGTGTGGTGTGGTGTGGTGTGGTGTGGTGTGGTGTGGTGTGGTGTGGTGTGTGGTGTGGTGTGGTGTGGTGTGGTGTGGTGTGGTGTGGTGTGGTGTGGTGTGGTGTGGTGTGTCGTGTGATGTTGTGTGGGTGTGTGGGCGTGTGTGTGGCTGTCTGGCTGGCTGTCTGCGTGTGCGGGGGTGGTGCTCGGCCAGGGGGGGAGGCGGGTCCAGATAAGGATCCTCCCAGGTCGAGGCCAGCTTTTGAAGCTGCCATGGACGCCGTCGTGCGCCCCTTGGAGCTTCGTGTGTGTTTCTGTCTCTGCTCTGATTGCTGTTGGTCTTATTGCATTGACGTGGTTATGCTGACAATCTCTGCAGCCGTTTGTTCCTGCATTCCCTGCCTGCGCTCTCTGCGGGGGATGACCGTTCAAAAGTTCACGAGTCAAAGGTGGTTCAGCGGACGCCACAAGATTGCAAGGAAGCTGCATGAGGTATCAGGAAAAGGCAGCCCCGCTGGGCTGGTGATCTTCTTCACACGCACTGGCAAAGCACAAAGAAGTTTCATGCAAGTTCTTACAGATGCGCAAGGGACCCCAACTCAAGTAGCTGGCTGCGATTGAGAGAAGGATCGGCTGTTTCGCTGTCGGTGCGATTCACCATCCCCGTCCCAACTCTTTCCTCAAAGCTCCCGCAGGATTGGTTGCTCCGGATGGAATTCCCTGTGGCTTGTTACTGTTGCTGATGTTCCGAGTCCCATTGTCATTTACGCCGTCTGCGCTTGGTATGTTTGTTTGGTTGCTGCTGGTCTTGTTGACGTGCTTATGTTGACAACCTCTGTAGCCGATTGTCCACGCGGTTGCCCTGCGCATGCCATGTGCGCCAGTATCGAGGATCTTCCTCTTGAGCGTGTGTGTGTGTGTGTGTGTGTGTGTGTGTGTGTGTGTGTGTGTGTGTGTGTGTGTGTGTGTGTGTGTGTGTGTGTGTGTGTGTGTGTGTGTGTGTGTGTGTGTGTGTGTGTGTGGGGGGGTGCGTGTGCGTGTGCGTGTGCGTGTGCGTGTGCGTGTGCGTGCGCGTGCGCGTGCGCGTGTGCCTGTGCCTGTGCCTGTGCGTGTGCGTGTGCGTGTGCGTGTGCGTGTGCGTGTGCGTGTGCGTGTGCGTGTGCGTGTGGGTGTGCGTGTGGGTGTGCGTGTGGGTGTGTGTGTGTGTGTGTGTCTATGTCTATGTCTATGTCTATGTCTGTGTCTGTTTCTGTGTCAGTGTCTGTGTATGTGTCTGTGTCTGTGTGTGTCTGTGTGTTGTGTGTCTGTTTCTATTTTTGTGTGTTTGTGCGTTTGTGTATTTGCTTGTGTGGTTGTGTGTTTGTCTGTGTCTGTGTTTGCGCTGGTGTGCGTGTTTGTGTCGGTATCGATATCAATATTTGTAAATACGTCTGTGTCTGTGTCGGTGTGCGTGAGTTTGTGTTTGTGGTTGCTATTGTTTGTGTTGTGTGTTTGTGTGTGCGTGGATATGGGTGTGCTAGTGTGTGGTGCGTGTTTTGTTTATGTTTGGACTTGTTTGTTTGTTTGTGTGTGTGTGTGTTCAGGTTTCATGTTAGTTTACAGGAAGCATCGTCACATCCGCTTGCACTGAGCCCACCAAAATGGTCCCTTTCAAATAATATCGGTCGCCCAAACAGGGACCTTGTTTTGGTGTTCAATCCTCTGCAGCACGTCGGTCTAATGCTCCCTTTAATACCTTTATTTAAAACTCTGGCAAAATCCATATTTGAGGTTCCCTAGATTCAAAGTAAACGTCATGAGTCATAAGCCATGACCTTATCGTTCAAGGAAATAGCTGCTTGGATAAATTTTGGTTGTCCAACAGGAAACAATATGATTCCCCCACCAATCCGAAGATATCCGACGGGAAGCCGCAATCTTGACACATTCTAGTCGATCTGGCTGCGTTTAGGACACTGACTGTCTGGCTGGTGTGATTTTAACATCAAAAAGCAGCGAGCTTCAATAGCTAAGGGTATGACAAAAACCTCATCCAGCATTCATCTCCTCGAAAGCAATGACTGAGGATACTGAAAAATACACTGCTCCCCAAGCCCTGCTACAAAAACAGAAACACACACGCACACACAGACACACACCCTCACACGCACGCACGCAAACCCACACGCATGCCCACCCACGCGCACATAGACACACACACACACACATACACACGCACCATTAACCCACATGCGACGCAGCCTGCGATTTCGCGCTCCCCGACAGTGCGGGCACCAGGCACGCATGACCTGCGTGGACCCCACTCCAGCCATCCTATGTCTTGCTGGTTCTATGGTCAACAATGGCGTTTGTTTTGGGGTAGGAGCCCGGGAACGTACTGCTGGGGAACCTAAGCAAGAATGCAACAGGCAAATTGGGGGACCTACTTTTGATTCAGGGGACCTACGTGGCCTGACGGATTTTAGGAGTTTCCACAAGTGGGGCGACGCATTTGGATTGACGCATTTGGATTTCTTCTTTGTGGGCGTCCTGCGACGACATTGGCGTTGCAGGTGCTTGCACGATGCCAAACACATAGCAAACAGATTTCTTCACAAAACACGACTCGTCTCAAGCAGGCTCCCCAGTTCGTGTTGGAAATGGTGAAAGTTTCATCTGTGCACATTCAGAATAAGCACGCTTAAGTCAGTGCTGCTGCGCACAGTAACAATGCCCGAGCAAATCGCCAGCACATATTGACTGCAAGCAGAGGCGTTGCCTAATCTTTGTGCAGCCCCTCAAGCATGCAAGCTCCTTTTCGTCGATCTAGTTGGAGTATGTGTGGGAGATAGCTGAGATTCGCAGGGCTGAGTTGCACATTCCAGGTTCCTCTCACAATGTGGGTGCTAGGAGATCCCCCAAAACGGTGGCTCTCCTTTGTTTCCTTTTCAAAACCACCAAAAAAGGAGTCCCCCAAAAAAGGAACAAGTATACACACACAAACGTGTGTCTGGCAATTTGCTTTCTCCTTGTTCAGGCCACCTCTTCTTCAAATAGGCATGGCCCCCATAGAGCTCGCTCGTCCGGCGCCAAGACCAGGCCCCACCTCAGAAGGTTCGGGACCCGAGCACAATGCAATCGCTTCGAGGCCTCACGTCAATCCCTGCTCAACTCCAGGTGGATAAGAGAGCAAAACAGAGTCTGTTACGCACGTCCAGTGTTTAGTGTCGCTTTCGGGCATTGCTGAAATCTGCATGGACTCATGTCCTCCTCCATAGTACTGCTATTGGAAATCGAACGGAAATCTCTGTCCGTCCTGACCAAAGGTCAAAGGTGACAGGCTTGCATTAAACCCACGTCAAGGGAACAGGGGACACTTGCGCTGGGACGGGCTGGCCCAATGGTGGAGATAGCACACCAATTTCGGAGACACCTGTTTTAACTTGCGGGAGACTCCAAAGAAAGAGGGTTCCATGTATGTTGCTAGGGGACTAAGACTTTTGCACAACCTTCAAGTAGCCGCGTGTCTAAACTAGGCACCCTGTAGGGGATGGCTCTACAAAGGAACGGCTTCGAAGGAAAGCAAGCTGAACATGACCATTCAAAAAGGTTAAAGACTGTGTTCCATGTGCTTTCTAACACACATTCGGACCAGCAAAAACTGGCCACAGCTGTTATCTTGGTCTCCCTTAAAGCTCCCTCTGAAAGCAGTCCCGCAAACTTTGGCAGGTTCCGCGTGCTGAGGCGAGCGCAGCTCAGCTCTGGTAGCACCTGTTGCACATGTTTATGGTGTGTGTGTGTGTGTGTGTCAAAGAAGAATGAACCCCTAATGGCTGCCTCCAATTGGCGAATGGGCAGTCCCTAACATAGGTGTCCCTTTTGGTACAGCCTTTTTACAGGAGCCCCAGAAAAAATACCCTCGAAAACCACTCCCACCCACATGGTTGGCAACACATTCGGTGTCCTTTGTCAAATTCACCGACCAGGGGTCACCCTGGCTTTGTTTTGACATACCCATTCGACACAAGCCCGATCTTCTGGCGGAAGGGTCGAAGGGTGTGATATCAGCCCAAGCATTTGGCACTGGCCAAAGACTTCTCCGATTCGCCGATTGGGTGTCTATTTGTTGGGTATGCTTTCAGCTTGGTTAAGGAAGCTGAAAGGAGAACAAACCGTTTTAGGGTCCTATTCTGATACACAATTTGCTTTCACTCACGGGTTCCCGCACCCTCCACAGCTCAGGCCGCAGCTGAAGTGGACAATGCCCTCAGGAGGTGAGGGGTTTTCCTGGCAAATTCAAGCGGAATCACTCTAGCCAATGCCAGCGGAATGCCTTTTTTTGGGATCCCTGTTGAGGATCCCATGGCATCCCTTTTTGGGGATCCCCAAATTGCCTTGTAATGAGTTTACCTTTGATTCGGGGCGCCGGATTGAATCGGGGCGCCGCAGCATGGGTTGCTGCATCGCTGGTTGATCTGGGTTGAAAATGGCTTTGGGCAATGGTTGTTACGCCGTTTGCAGCAGTGAGAAAAAGGAAGCCTGGCCCCTCTACAAGGTACCCAGTCCAAACCTTTCAGGTACCCAGTTTAATCCCCCAGGGTACCTTTTACAAACCCGGGATTGTTCCGGGTACTTTGCCAGCGTCCCGCCCGCCGCGCTACGCTGGCTGCTGTGCCACGCACCGCCCACGCCAGGGCCTCGGCGAGCGAAGGATGCTGAGGGTTTTTTGACAAACCTTGCCGGAGCAGTTTGAAACTTCATCTTACACGATTTTGGCTCAAATGTTGCGTCGCGCAACGTTGATGCTGCCACCCAGCGCAGACTCAAACAAACCTAGGGTTGGAAGTCGTCTCAAGCTGGTGGATGGATGGTACGAAGCCACAGAGCTCGCTTGCACGTTATCCTGGGAAAGTCTCCGGGGGAAGCTCTGCGGAAGTTTGGGGCGAAAGCGTACTCCCTTCAGGCCCAGAAAGAAGACTGCAAACGATGCTTCGCCCGACGTTTTGGGGCCAATTGGGAAGTTACTGCCTGGTATGTACGTGACACCTCAGCTCGCCGCGGACGCAAGTGGCCTGACACGCTGGCCGGAATCATCAAGAACGTTTCTGCTACAGATGGAGTGCTAGCAACTTCCTCGGTGTGCCGCATGCTGAGAAACAAGAAGGACTTGGTGCAGATTGAAGACAGCAAGGTGCCTGTCCTTATTTGCGAGAACGAAGAGCTAGACACAACGACCCCAAGAGGCAAAAACTTGTTCGGCAAGCTTGTTTTGGATGGGGAACTTGAGGCTTGGGTGCCAAAGTAAACAGCCAGAAGAGGTGTTGGTATTGTGACTGTTTTTGCTCCACTGTGTGAAAGACCCTGCTAGGCCGATTTATGCTCCATGCGAGTCAAGCGTGCCCTTCAAGTTGCCAAGTCTCGCGGCGTGGCATTGGGCACGCACAACAAGAAAGTCCGAGGTAAGGGCGCAAAGAAGCGCCACGAACAAGCCAAAACCTTCGCAGTATCAGTGCTGCCCCGCATTCAAAAACTCTGGGCCCAGGGTCTTGGAGGGAAGCGAATCACGAAGACTCTAAATGCAGACCGAAAAGCGCTCAGGCTGAATAACGACAAAACGTTTCACCTCAGCAAAGTTCAGCGCATCACAGCCCTGCTTGTCCAAATGAAAAAGCTTCCCAAGCGCAAGTAGGCACGCCCGCTGTGCCGGGCTTCCTTTTTTCCACTGGCTTAAAGCCACAGGAGTTTAAGAGACACGGAAAAAGCGGTGTTCAGTTGCCCAGACCACAAAAGCGCTGACAGCTTGTGCATCCGACGAAAAAACCGCTCCATTCTAGACTGATCTTTTGTGCTTCTTGAGAGGAGGAGCGGCTGCTGATGATGCACTGGATGGATGCGAGCTGCTCGCGTGTTGCTTCAAATGCTCCATCATTAAAGAGATCAAGAACTTGACATCCTGTAGTGGCTTTCCCTTGTTGAGCTCTCTTGCAGCAGTGTTGGCGATTTCCATGCATTGTTCAGCTGAAGCTCCTTCTTGTTCTACCTTAGTCAGGGGCATCGCAATGAACAAAGGGTAGATGTAAAACAGTGTGTGTGTGTGTGTGTGTGTGTGTTTTCTGTGGACCCCCCAAAATGGTGGGTTTTACATTTGGCCTCCCTTTGAAGCTAACCAGCAGGGTGCCCTCAAAGAAATTGCGCCGAAATGCCCGAAGCAAGACTCAGACACCTGCCGCCAAAGCGCCATAGTCCCTTCCACAATCTTGGCTGGTTGACCTGCTTGAACGGCTGCTGCCGCTCGCCCCTTCACCCGCACTGAGGCAAACCCCAAGTTGGATGCGGGAATCGGCGCTTCCTTCTTCCGCACGGAGGCTGGCTTAGCCTCGCCTTCTGAGGGAGAGAGCTGAGAAACTCTCAAAACATGGTTTTGGCGCTGCATCAACTTGAGAATCAATGGCTTCAAGCTTTTGGCTGCTCCGGCAAGCAAATCTGCACCGGGGTAAATCAGTACATGCGTCAGTGACCACTGCAAGCTGAGGCAACGTTTTTGTCCATGCTTGCAAAACTACACTCGTAATGTCAAAACTGCGCGCCCAAGTCCCCACTACTACAGTGAGCAGCACTAAACTCTGAAGCGGCCATCAAGGGATCACCTGTGCAAACGTAGTGGGCGAGACAAATCAGTAAATGCTCTTGTTAAAGCGATAGGCCGCCCGAGAGTGGACTTCCTAGCAAGCGGGTTTCAGTCCTGAGACTCATTCGGCGTGTCTTCGCAGTTGAACCCAGGGGGCGGGGAAGGTCCTTCAATCTCTGCATCCTCGCCCTCTGGCAGGTTCAGCGGCTCCTCGCACTTTTCGTCCGGGACCCCAGGCTGAGTGCGGTCCGCAACCATCTTGCTGACCTCCCCCATTTTGATGAAGCCGCACTGAACGGCATGCCCCTCAGAATCTCCAGCTTCGAGCCGGCTCAGCACCTCCAAGCACACAGTCATGTTCTCCTTCAGGCTTGCGCCGCGGATGCGCGCCTGCAAGCGGTGTTGAAGGGTCTTTTGGAAACGTGCTTGGGTGAGTGTTTTCCTTGCCCGCAAAACGAAATCTCGAAAGCTTGAATCAAACCGGGCAAAGGTGCCGTAATCAGGATCGTCAACGTAGCCTTGCAACGGACGCTGACGAAGCCTGACTTTGGATACCTCATTTCGTAGTAGTGGTGCCCGCCAGCATGCACATGTTTCAGTGGCGGAAGGTCCTGGCACGCACGCGGGTGGCTCGCGAAAGTCAGGATTTGCAGAGCCCTTCACCCAAGTCCTCGTAGATCTTGCCTTCGCCCGTGGCAGGCTTCTTGGCTTTCTTTGACTTCGCGGCTGGGCGCTTTTTTGCTGCAGGCTGGCTGGGCCCAGGATGGGGCGTGACTTCAGGCTCTGGCTGGCCAATGCTGGTCTTTCTCATACTGCCAGCAGCTGCGGCAGGCCGCTTCATGGGTGGCTTCCTGGCTTTGGCTTTGTTCTGCGACTCTCCCTCCGCAATCGGTGGCTTCGGCGCTTTGCTTGGCGTACTGGGCGCTTTCAGTGGCGGCTTGGTCTCAGCAGATTTCCTCTTTCGCCCAGCTTTGGGTTTGGGCGACGCTTTTGCTTGGGCAGGCAGAGCAGCGCCAGGTGTTTGTTGCTCTGCCTCTTCCGAGTCGCTGAGTGTGCTCACACGCTCTGCCATGGTTGGCGGCATGAGCAACTTGGCAAGGCAACTTACCGCAAATGAAACACCGAGGTCTTGGGCCGATGCATTCACTTGAAAACGCCAAAAGTGAGCCTGTTTCCAATAGTTTGTCTTTGTTTGGAGCTCCCAAGAAAAGAGAAATCCAACACATGCCGGGGCAACGATATGTAAAGGCTCCACTTTTGACATCCTCCCTTCGGGTGCACAGCACCTGGCTTGCCCAAGATCACGTCCAAACTCACACACTGGCACTTTGATGTGTTCTTGATTTGGCGGAAAGGGTTCGCACATACTTGCAACAAGAGGGACGCTTGACCTGGAACATGCCACGGATTAATCATTTTGATCACCTCGCGTTTGTCCTAGTCTGGCCCCGAAAAGTGGGGCGTCGGCCGTTGATGGTCGGCCGATGGCAAAAATCTCACCTACCGGGGCCACAGGCATGCAATCACGCTGGCCTAAACGACTTGGTAGAGCTTGTTGGCAATCAGCTTCAGGGACCCTGTCAGCCAAAACTTGGGCTTGAGAGGCTTGATGCAAGCGGGATGGTCAGTTTGAAGGCGGACTTCCCACAAGGTTGTTGCCACTGTGCCCTTGAGCATCTTGAGTTTGCCGAGCCAAGCGGAGCCAGCGCTTGCCCTCTTCAGGCTGTCTGCGGCCAGCTCATCGTCGCTGAGCCGATCGGGGGCAAAGGCCAAGGCTCGGGTGCCCGCGCGAATGGTGCAGCGGCAGAACTTCTCTTGGGAGACTCCCTGCGGGGGAGAGGGTGGGCAAGTCTATGTTCATTCACACTATAAAACTTAGCTTTGCGAAGCCCCCACCTCATTCCCGGCCATCAAGGGAACACAGACATGGTTATCCACCTTGAGGTCAGGGATATTCTTTTGAAAAGCTTCGTACACCATGTCGCAGACACGGACAATCGTCTTACACCCGTCTGTCGTGTTGACCACCGACTGGAGGTCAGATGAGATGTCGAACATGATGCTTTGGTCTTGGCCTTGGCTTCCACAAACGACAAAACAAGAAGTGGGTTCTGCAGTCCTGGGATGCTTGACAAACCAACAGTCCCCGAAGATCGTTCCCCTAAACAGTGTGTCAGCACTAAGGGGTTCTTACGGTAAGAGTCAGGGGCCGCTGCTTCATCAAGGTGCTCAATTTGGTCTGGAGCATTTTTCATTATATTTACGTACAACCGTGACTTCATAAAATCTTGCAGGTGCGTTTCGACTGCGCAGGCTTCCGCAAAGTGGTTGGCCGATATTTGGGGCGCGCTTTTGGGCTGCGCAGGCTCGCGCTAAAGTTTCCTCATGAGATGCTCATGTGCATTTCGACTGCGCAGGCTCGCACAAAGTCTGTGGACGAATTTGGTGTCTTGCGAGGGTGTGCTCTCTCTGCGGCTCCGTGCGGATTTCGAAAACGGCAGATTGGCGAACCTTCTGCGCATAGCTGGGCTGCGCTAAGCAGAGCAACCCTTTTTTTTAAGCACCCCTTTCGCTGACTCTTTTGGCAAAAAAACGCAACTCAGGACACTTGATGCAATAGATCTTGGAGGTCAGTTAGCCTGTTTTCGGAAATTGGGGT